GATTCAGATGCTGAACGTTCTGAAGATGCTAAGGCAGCGGAAGTAAAGATTGAGTTAAGCAAAGGTCCAAAAAGTCATTCAGCTGAAAACGGTTCAGCATATATGGAAACATTGCTGAGTGAAAAGAATCCTTCTAACCCAATATCTAGCCATGAGACTCCACTGTCTATGGGAGAAATACTTTCTTCTTTGGATCCTGGAATATCTTTAGCTAATCACAGTGGTGAATATTCTGTAGAAAGCAGACAGCCAGCCAAAATCAATGGATCTCACCCACATGTGAAACGCAGTAACTTCTGGGGGAGGAATAATGTAAGAAAAACCTAGCTATGTTTATTTCTTTTCTGCCTTTTTTTTGGAGCTACTGGGTATTAATAGTGCATTGCTGTTCCACCTTCCTACTCCATCGAATTATGGTTTAGTTGGCTCCATATTGTTCCTGAAGTTGTTTCTGGAATTATTAGAAACCTTATTCTGTTCTGAGTTCTATATGCATGTTTTATGCAGGCAAGAAAGAGTCAACACTCTGAATCAGTCGACTCATCTGGTGAAGAAGAGTAAGCCCTTTGCCACTAAAGCACCAACAAATCATTTTTGTTTACACTTTACAGTGCTGTTTCGTTGAGTTTAGTTGTTAATAGTTGTGAATCTGAGCAGTTGTATTGCATTAGGCCATTCTATATTGACTGTGGAAATGTTTGCCAATGCTCTAGCACTTGCCCTTCCTTGACCCCCTCCATTGCTGCTGCCAAGGCACTGAGGCCTCTGGCTGAGAAGGGAGAGTCTACGGACTTCTATTTTCATTTCTTGCCTAGTTGCCTGCTGAAAAGGATGATAATGCCCCTAACAACTCAATTTAATATTCCCAACTAATAAGCTGTCGATAGATTAATAGGAATTCCCCTATCCAAATGGAGAAACGTTGGATTAACCTAGGGTCTAACATTGTTTTGAATGAGGCTGAAACAGAAGTCTTAGTAGTCGTCATAATGGAATACCTTGAACACCCAAACCTTCCTATATCGATCAATAACTTGTTTGTTAACTAAGCCTAACCTAATCCTTTAACTTGCTGATTCATAACTTGCTAACTAAGCCTAACCTAATCCAGAGAAGTTAAAGGATCAATAACTTGCTAAGGACACTCCCTGGTTGCTGATATTGCTACTGTACGCCGCTGCTGTTCATTTGTTGAATATGCATACCATAGATTAATTGATTGTAATTTTGCTTTGCAAATAAAAACTTCCAGGCTTGCTATTCAAAGGCTCGAAATAGCAAAGAATGATCTGCAGAACAGAATTGCCAAAGAGGTATGTGAAGAAAATGCACATAAGAATATTCTATTTTATGCTTGCCATCTAACAAGGAGTGGCTTCAGGCTAGGGGTAATGCAATTCTACAGGCAAGTTTGGAAAGAAGGAAACAAGCACTGCATGAACGTCGTTTGGCCCTGGAACAGGATGTATGTTGCATTCCCTTGTACCATCAAATTTGCTTGGTCGTCAAGTGCATATGTTTTACTATAGTATATTGGGGAAAGATACCCTTTTTTTTTGTCCCTTAGGCAGGTTCTGAATCTTAGAATTCTTTCAAATCCAACATCCCACTGGTTTGCTGGAAAATGCCTAGTTTTATTGACATTGTGCATCTAGCGTTCTTTTCATTTGTCTTTTATTTTGTGTGTTTCTTGAAGCTTGTCTCTTCTTTTTCTACACGTTGAATCATCAGCGCTGTCTATATTCCTTGAAAATAGCAATCACAAACCTCACTGTTCACTAGTTACATGCAAAACACAGAAATCCTGGTTCTTGCCTGGATTTCCAGCAATTCAGAATGAGGTCCAGGCAGAGACTTGGATCCCCTCGTTGACATTTGAACTGATAGCTCCTTGGGCCTTGCTTATCGTTGAATCAGATCAGGGTTCCTAATATCAGTAATCCTGGTATTATCGTTCATCAGTGAAATACAGTAACCTTCTGGTTACTGGATTTTACTGCACTGATAACTGTCAGAATAATTATAAATTATAAATATAATCTCAACATCATTCCTGTTGGTGAGCATCCCCTAACCAGTCCCAGGACCTGGACTGCTTACCACCAGTTTTTTTTAACCCTGACCCAGAGGCTCGATAAGTTTGATTAATTTGTTGCTGAGGTTGCCTTCATCCCTTGCATTGGAAATGCTGTAAAATTGAGGGACTAAAATGAAATAATGCCTGCACAAAAGTCACTTTTACCCATAGCCCATAGACTGAGGAACCAAAACGATACTTTCCCTTACATTTGGTTTTGGCTGAACACTTGTGATATATTTGATGGTGACTGAAACATTCAGATAGTAATTTCTACAAGTGTGATATTGATAGGTGTCTAGGTTGCAAGAGCAACTACAGGCAGAGAGAGATCTTAGAGCTGCATTGGAGGTTGGATTGAGCATGTCTTCCAGTCAGTTTTCTAGTTCACGTGCTATGGACACGAAGGTACCTCTAGTGACCGCTCTACTTTATGGAATTACTTTACGGAGTCTCATTTTCACTCATTGTTTTTCTCAAGACGAGAGCTGAACTTGAGGAGATTGCTCTTGCTGAAGCTGATGTTGCAAGGTTAAAGCAGAAGGTTGCAGAGCTTCATCTCCAACTCAACCAACAGCGCCAACACCAGTATGGCCCTATGGTAGATGCAAATGATCGTTACCACCGTATTCCTGGCCATTTTTCGCAGCAGTAAGTAATCAACTTTGTTGTTTTCTTTTTTACTACTGCTATTTATACGGATGGATGTTGCTAGTTCAGTAGGTTTGGCACCTTTTGATTTTCTGTAATTGTGTTTATTGTTCTGTTTCATCCAAGTGGCCCCATTTCTGTAAAGAGTGGCTGCAGGTATGCAGCCACAGAATTATGCTGCAACTGGTGCTTACTTGAAATCTGATTGTGGACAACATTTCACTGGAAAACAATCTGTGCAGTACTAATTGATAGCTCAATGTATCGAGACATATTGGATATGCTTTACTGAGCTTAATGATTTCTATCTTATTTTGACTATTTTATTGGTGCCAGGAACTTTGTTCAGCCAGGATTCGACATGAACCTTGCCTTCTGCAACCAAGAGAAGCAGAGAAATGAGGTTTGTTAAGAACTATTTACTCTACACATTGTGAGCTTAATAACAACACAGAGGTGTGTTGAATTTCAGGTCCAACTTGACCCCTGTGCACATCAGCATAACAAGAATGCTCTATTATACTGTTTTATTAGTTTTTACTCATTTTCAGTTTTGGAAACGGATATTACTGCTATTGATCATGTCTCCTAAACAAATAATAATTGCTCTATTTTGATGTGTGGGTTGTGGTACCCAAACAATTTCTTGCACGATAATATTGTTAGGAGTTTCCACCAGAAGGACTGAAGGAAACACACTCGCTTTAATCTGATATTGGCATCGTATCCCTGACTAACATCGGATCATATTTTGGCATGGCAGGAGAGTTCGGTGGACTCATCACAGTGGAGAAATATCAAGCAGCATGTGCTACCTTATGGTTCTTCAAGGCCACTCACCCGCAAGCTCTCTTTGGACGCATCTTCAAGCGATTCAAGAGGCATGGAGGCATCGACGAGCATGCCAACAGATAACACTGCTATGGCTATCAATGCCCCAAAGTTTACTGAGGTTAGGGAAATCACAGCCACTCTATTTAGCACTACTAATATCCTCCAAAGGAAGATTGTTCTTATTTTTATCGTATGGCAGGGTGTTGATTATGGGAGGCAACCAATGGTGGCCTCCTCCACTTTGGTAGAACTGACAACTAGGCTAGACTTCTTCAAAGAGCGGAGGTCGCAACTGATGGAACAACTCCACAGTCTCGATTTAGGACATGGATCCGCTTCTCAGGGTTTTCCATACAACAAACCGCCCTCTCCTTGGGACAGTCCAAGGTAGGATGTTCATTCAGTTCCACGATTGTATATTCTTGGTAGTTATTCTTTTCCCATCCATGTTAATCATTTGTAGGAATTGCTGTTGAGAATGTAAATTTATTTTTGTTCTCCAATACGGGTTTTATCGTATCGCTTTGCACGAGTTAGCAACTTGAGTGTGATGTTATAGTCTCCTGTATGTAATGTGTCAAGGTGGGGTGCCATTCAAAACAAAAATTTCCAGCGCTATAACAGTATATATTTGTATTTTTGTGTGGCTACTCAAAAGGAAGGAATAGAGTTACGCGTTTGTACGGTTGTTTGGTTTATAACACTTGGTTTGATGAAGGTGAGAAAGAAAATGATTAAATGAGAACCCTGTTGGTGCATAAACAATCTGTGTTTGAAGCTTAGCTTTATTACCATTGCAAGTAATTTTCCCTTGTCCATTCTGATGCCATGCTGTGTCGTACCGTACGTAGTGGAAATTAGAACACAGCGAGGGACAAACCGAACCGTAAGGCTCACTTGGACCGAGAAAAATGGACCGGAAAAAAGGAAAGGAATAAGTTCACCGGCTGTCCCTTAACTTTACACCGAGATTTTTTGAGGTCCCTTAACCATAAAACCAGAAATCTCCACCCCTAAACTATATAAAACCGTTCACTCAAGGTCCCTAGGCAGTATATACAGGTGGTTTTGCTGACGTGGCATCCTAGCCAGAAAAAAAAATAAAATTAATGTGTGGCCCACATGTAAGTGAGACAATGGTGTGGGTTCCACATTTCTCTGTTTTTTTTCTTTTTCTCTTCTCTTCTCTCCGAGTTCTCTCGAGTGTCGAGCAGGCGCGGCGACCGGGGGGAGAGAAGTGGCCGGCGGCGGAGCGGGGACGGCGGCAGCGGAGAGGGAGAGAGAGGCAGTCGATGCGACGGCGGCGGCGGGAGCGGAGGAGAGGTGGCGGCCGGTGCGACGGCGAGCTCGGCGGCGGAGATGTTCGAACGTGCCGGGTGCTCGACCACGGGCCCCGCCGCCGCCCGATGAGCGGCGCGCTCTCCCTGTCGACCCTCTCTCCCTCCCCAAGGCGATGGGGCTGCTCCGCTGCCGAAAGAGCTGCTGCCTCCACTCGATGAACTACCTTATCCCCGACCTCAAGTGCAGCAACTTTCACCGACGACGACGACGAGCTCACCATCAAGCTCCACGCCCTTCTCGGCAACAAGTAAGCAAAACAAATTTCAACGTGTTGTCATCTGCTCCGGTTAGCTCTTCTTGTGTTCTTGGTGCTGATTGATTGGTTCTGCAGGTGGAACAGCACATCAAGCGCAAGCTCATGAGCCAGGGCATCGATCCGCAGACGCATCAGCCGGTTAGCGCCGGGACCAGCGTTGCCGCGGCAAGCGAGCTGACCACGACGGCCAGCACTGTCGGCTTCCCATCCCTGTAGGCGCCGGCGCCGGCGCCGGCGTGAGGGAGCTCGAGGAGGAAGGAGGGAAGGCTGGGAGGGGTCTTCCTCGAAGTCGTTGTCTCCGGCAGAGGCCGAGTCATCGGCGAAGGTGAGCTCGAGCTCCGCGTCGAGGAGCACCGCGAAGTCATCGCTGCCGCTCGACGACGACGAGGAGGACGGCGACGGCGACTTGGCGGCGGGGCTTATGGCCGAGGGCAAAGGGCGTGCTTTGGTCGATTGGGGTGGGCTGGATGCGCCTCCGCGCTCGCCCACCTCCGCTCCACTGCCACGCTCGCCCTCCGCCGCTCCACCCGCCGCCGCGCTCGCCCTCCGCTTCTCTGCCCGCGGCCGTGCTTGCGCTCCACTGCTCGGCCCGCCACGATTGCGCCCGCCGCCGCTCCGCTGGCGCTTGCCCTCTGCTGCGCCACCCGCATCTGCGCGCGCTGCTCCGCCTGCCGCCGGCCTCCCTCACTGAAGAAGAGAAATAGAGAAGAGAGAAAAGAGAAGATAAGGAGAAGAAAAGAGAGGAAAAAAAAGTGCAGCTGACATGTGGGCCCCACGTATTTTTTAATTTTTTTTTGGCTAACTAGGATGCCACGTCAGCGAAACCACTCATATATACTGCCTAGGGACCTTGAGTGAACGGTTTTGTATAGTTTTGGGGTGAAGATTTCTGGTTTTGTGGTTAAGAGTTCTCGAAAAATCTCGCTGTTAAGTTGAGGGACCTCCGGTGAACTTATTCCAAAAAGAAACCTCGCGTAGGCCGTAATTCCTTTCGGACCAGAATTTAATGGGCCTCATGTGGGCGGCAATCCCATTCCGGACCAAAAACACAATAGGCTTCATGTGGGCCGCAGTGTCGTTCCGGGCCGAAAGTATGATGGGTCTCTCAATACTGTTACGGCAAAAAAATATATTTTTTACCGTTGGATGTCGACGAAAAATCCAAACGGAGAGAAGAAACGACTCTGCGGCTTCGGCCAGCAGAGCGGGAGGTGAGCAATGGCGGCGGCGGCCGGCCACAGCGCTGGATCGAGAGGTTGCGCGGCTTTTAGGCCAGTTCCAACTCAATGATCAGGATGGTGTCCATAGTATTAAATAAGCTACCACCTATGATGAAAGATGATGTGGCAAGCGAAAAAAATGAGAAAAGAGAATAAAATCAGATCTTGCATAAGACATACTCCCTCTGTACTCGTAAAGGAAGTCGTTTAGGACAATGCTTAAGTCAAGCCTTAGGAATATAAATCATGAATAACTCTTAAGTTGTTGAATTTGAAAATGTAAAAATTATATGAATAGATTTGTCTTTGAAAAATACTTTCATAAAAGTATACATATATCACTTTTTAATAAATATTTTTATAGAAACAAGAAGTTAAAGTTGTATTTTGGAGACCGTGTCGCTGTCTAAAACGACTTCCTTTACGAGTATGGAGGGGGTAGTTTCTACACAATATCCAACATATCATGAGAGATAAGTAGAATTAAATTTAAGTATGGAAGAATGGTGTTTATATTGAAAGAGTAGTGTCTAGTAGTAGTTTATTGATGATGTGGAGTTTATGAAAACTATGTCTAATGTCTTGGGTTAGGACTGGTCTTAGGCGGAGCTTGATCATGAAGCGCCGCGTGAGCCCTATACCCTTGACACGGAGCAGCCGCGACTGGCATATGCTGGTCCTCTGGGACATTGTTAATTTGCTTGATGGTATGCAAGCTGTTCGGACGACTGCCGGCAAGGCATCGACGGATCACTGACCGCTGGTTCGCTGCGATTGATAGCAAAGATGTTGTTGTCAACATGTAGAGGATTCTGGTGATCCCAATCCCATGTAATTTTTTATTATTTCCTTCTTCTTATGAAATTAGGGAGTTCAGCATGAATTTTTGTAGAGTTTTAAACACAATCTTTTTTTTTTGTTGTTGTTAGTGAGTCAGTTGTTGCAAGTCAACATGAAGTAATATTTGTTATGTTACTGTGAATATAAATAGCTAGTCATGCTAAGTAAATGTCGTCCACTTCAAGAGCGTCTGGCCGGTAATTCCTCATGTATAATTTGACAATGAATAGCATTTGAATTGGGAAGAGTTTCTGTGTAACTGAAAACCGAAGAATGAAGAATGCTCCCAATTTTAGCGCAAACAAGATGCATCTCACAAAATGTTGCATCTCCAATATCTATTTGCCACTCTTAGATTTGGCATTTAAGTGTTTAACTATTTGGCACCTATGTATCAATTACGTGTGAGCCCTCATTGTTTCCCGATTCCCCACTCCACGCACGTAAGCGCCCTGATCGGGGGCGCTAGCCGTTCCATGGCTGTGAGCCCCTCTCACGCAGCGCCACAATAAAAGGGGAGTCACCGGCACACGCGAAGTGAGTTTTTCCCATGCACATGTGCTCCCCACAAACCCTAAGTCCCTCCAATCTGGGAAGGCGTTGAAGTGAGGGGATTACTCACGTTCTCACTGCCGCCGCCATCGTCATCTACACCAACACCACACCACTCCGCTACACCGTCGCCGTGGCCGCATCAAGCTCCAAGTCCGACGCCTCTCTCTCTCTCTCTCTCCCTCCGCTCACCCCTCAAGAACATCAACCCATTATTGCTATGAGCTAGCATCTCAACCCCCCCCCCCTATATTGACGTGCAATCCTTTTGCGCATTCGCGAAAAAATAGCATATCACCCCTAGATCCGCACCTAATGATCCTATATTTCTAACACTCATATGTCGGACATATGGGTCCGAGTGGCAAATCATTAAGTTAATTTTCCCCATTATCTTGGAAGAAATCTGACAACCCGGCAAAAACAACAGTATGTGCTTACTTTGACCTAAGTGACATAGCTAAAATACACCATCTTACCGTTGATATCAGGTTCAGGAATGCTAAGAAAATACCCTGAGCAATACGTTTCATTGATTTCAGAGGTGGTAGCAAAAATGGTGTCAGTCTCAGATATTCCTGCATGCCATTGACTTCAACAGTGAAGAATCTCCTAAAGTTATGGACTTTAGAATGATTCATATGAGTTACATAAGGCGAATATGCCCTCGTTAATAACACACATAAACAAGAGGATAGCGACATGTTATCTCATAAAACATTTACATCTCTGAACTTTGTCACTACAAACTTCTCTCTGTAAGTTGAATCTTCAAGTGTGCCAAAAAAAAGAATGAATCTTCAAGTCAGCATCTACACTAACATTAGTGGATTCTATATGCATGTATATAGCTATATTTAGGCATAGCTTGGCATTGATGTGCTATGCTAGACTGGCCATTGTAACAAAGTAGCTGTAGATAGGAAGCTGTGTCTATTTTTCAGGGGAAGAAAAGACTGTTGAATCTGAGATTATTGAAAAGCACCATTGTCCCAATCGGAGCCATCTGAATTCCTTGGGGGTCTGCAAGCAGGGCCTTGATCAGCCTGATGGCTTCTGCTTGATCATATACAAGTAGAGGCATCAAACCTGCTGAAATATGACCAGCATCTATGTCGGCAGCTGCGGTAGCTCTGGAGTCCCAATGTGTTTTCAGATGTCTATCTTCTCTTCTTGGAACGCTTTGTACACAAAATCTTTGAAGCGTCTGGAATACTGTTTCGGATCTACTGCTGAAATAGATGTTGGGTCATACTGAAAGGACTTGTATGCATGCTCAAGCTTTTTGCTGATATCGTAGTCTTGAAGGATGTCTATAATCCCAAAATATAGTATAACATCGTAGAACTCCCCAGTAGGCTCTCCGATGATCTGAGGCTCGCACTCACTCTTTCGTACTGTTAGCTCAGCTCTTGTTGGCATGTTGGACCCAAGTTTTATCTTCGAAAACCTGTCCACCCAAAGAATCTTAGTGATGTTAAAATTAGAACTTGGAGACATCAATACAGCCAAATTATTTCTTATCATATAGAAGTGCAAGGAAAAGGAGGTAAAATGGTGGTGGCAACGAATGCTGCCTATTAGTTCTTGATGACAAGTATCGTATATCTCTACTGCAATGAAGCCCGTTGAACATAACATTAGAATCAAGGCGAACATCAAGGAAGCATATATATGGGGCATCTCAATATGGAAGATCGTATAGCATGTGTATGCCTGAAAAGTATTGACAACAAGAGCAAGAGTAATCAAGTATCTTATTTTACCTGTTTGGATCAGTATCTCCTCTAGACAGGTGAGGCGATGACGCTCTGCTACTATCACTATCAAAGGAACCTTCAACCCATGCACTTCGTAAGGTATAGAACAACCATGTCAAAAACTTAAATTGATTATATTTTTCATCTTACCTTCACTTGCTAATAGATTTCTTTTGTCTCTGAAATGTACACCCACCAAAAGACTGTAGTCCATGATGTTCTCTTGCTCAAGAAAGTCGCAGTCCTTATCGACTTGTCTGCTTGAACACATTTAACTTCTACATTAACACAACGAGTAAAAATGTGATGACCACTCACTCTTGCACTAGCCTCACTTACCTTAGGAACTCTTGGTGCCAGTGTTTTTGCAATCGAAAGATAAAGTTAAGATCGAGGTCTTTCAAAGTAGTGTATTCGTCAATTTCTGTTTGTGGCTTGTCAGTTGTACGTCCAAGTGATGAGCCTTTCAGATCAAATCGTCTATGAATGGAATAATCAGAACAAAACAAGTTTCCCATGATGACGAAACGAACCTGGTAATAATATAGCAAACAGATGAGCAGACATGACATATTGATTTATAAGCTTAATAAGAATCTATTGGCTAATAAATTAGCTTTAGCATGATATACAGATATATATTAAGTACTGACCTTCTTTTGGTTAGCTCCAGCTAACTTTACACAATGTAGACCAAAAAATTTGGTGACTAGAGTGTTCTCAAATGACCGAACATGATTGTAGTAAGCTCGAAGCATCTTAAGAAATATCTACATGATGGCAAGTTCTTTGTAGATTTAGTACAGAAGTGCCAGATGTGAATTCAGAAAGCATCTGGACAAACTAAACATGATGCACCAACCTTTACTTCAGATTTCTTCATCGTCTTTATCATGTACTGATCATTGCTCGTGAGATAAAAGAAGCTTCCACTCTTACCGGGGGATGAGAGCTCCCGGAGAGCCTGATCACCACAAAGGGACAACATATAATCTGCCGCATCAACCTTGAATAACTTGCGTAGTGTCCTGTGATTCAATCCAGGACAAGTTGTACCGCTGATGAGAATGAATTAAGCTAAATGCAGGCATAACACACAAATAAGTCATTGGAGTGATGACCAACCGGAACACTTGCGGGCAGTAATCTTTCCATTTGAAATCGCAAGAACTGTGAGGAGGGGTGTACTTTGATCCTTCTGGAGGAAACCTTGTCCATACTTTCTCCTTTGGGTCAAAAGCTGATGACTTCAAATCAAGCGTAATCGGGCCTTGTTTTCCTACTGCATGTCTATTGCCCAGACAAAGTTATTAGAGCATAGACAAATTCATTCTGAAATGTTGCAAATACATGCATTTTACTATTCTAGTGTAAGAAGATATAATATCTGCTTAAATGAAAATATGCAAGTATGCTTTTGGCCCACAGTATGCCCTGCTGTTATTATGCTTGACTTCATATTAAATTTTTCAATAAAAAGAATCCCCTCTTCTTGTCGTAAAATTCCAATTAATCACAATTTGCCACCATTTCAGCTTCGAGTCAATAAACAAATGCACATGTTAGGCATAGAATTTTTTGTTGAATTTTTCAACGCGTCGCTTCCTCTACGTGCAAACAATGACTTCTTGTAAAATTGCCACATCCCCGTCAGGAGGGGGAGGTAAAATCATTCGGCATTTGTAGCTAGCCATTGAAAAGTTTTGCTTACCATGAGACCAGAATAATCTAATTAAAATCATGTAATAAACATCACCTTCTAACCTTTTTTTTTTTTGCAAATTTATCTGCACGGTAGATTAATTGGCGATGGCATTACATCATACGAAATTCAAAATGCGCAATCAGCATAAATACATTGAAAAAGGAGAGGAAATCCATGTAGGGAAAATTTGGATGGAGCACCCGGATCGAAAGAACGGACAAAAATAAAAAGAACAAGAAGAAGGAGAAGAAGAGTAAGAGACGGGACAGACGCACGCACCTGATGCCGAGCTGGAGGTTGAGCATAAGCTCATAGTTCTTGTGGCCCTTGGCGATGGTCTCCCCCTGCCGCCGCGCCCCGCGCGACCTACCGCCGCCGGCGTGCGGCCCCGTCGCCGGCGACGGCGGCGGCAGCCCCCTCACCTCGCCGGCGTCCTCCACCCTCACCGTCGCTGCGGCCCGCCTCCTCCTCCTCCTCCTCCTCCACCTCCTCCTCCTCCTCCCCCGCACCCGCACCTCGGCCTCCTCCGCCACCACCACCACCACCACCGCAATGCCGCACGTGGTGCCCCCATCCAGAGCACCCCCTCCCCCCGCAAACTCGGATCTCTTCAAAGCTTTTCCGCCTCCTCTTCTCTCTCCTCCCACCCGGGAGTTTTGCTCCCCGCGCGGACGCCGAGCTCGCGCGCCCGCTCGCTCGCTTCAACCATGGCCTCCCCTGCTCCCCCCGCCACGTGCCGCCTCCAGGGCGTCCCACGTCACCCCCTCCTAGCTCACTTTCTCCTTTAGCCGCAGCCAGCCGCAGCCAGCACATGCACACAGATGCACCAAATGGATCCATATGATTTTACAATGTTAAAAAAATCCTCCCTCCGTTGACGCCGTTGGTTTTTTTAAACATGTTTGACCATTCGCCTTACTAAAAAAAATTTAAGTAATTATTAATTCTTTTTCTATCATTTGATTCATTGTTAAATATACTTTTATGTATACATATAGTTTTACATATTTCACAAAAGTTTTTGAATAAAATCAATGGTCAAATATGTTTTAAAAAGTCAACGGCGTTAAACATTTAGGGAAGGAGAGAGTATATAAGAAACTATCGCCGCAAAACTTGAGATAAGAGATGTGTCTATACCTATATTAATTGCACTGCGTATTTTTCCTTTTGTTGCAATTTTGTACCGTTACCCCTTTTTAACTAAAGTGGTACTCCCTCCGTCCCATAATACAAGGGATTTTGAGTTTTTATTTGCACTGTTTGATCACTCGTCTTATTAAAAAAATTAGAATTATTATTTATTTTTTTTGACTTACTTTATTATCCAAAGTACTTTAAGCACAACTTTTCATTTTTTATATTTGCATAAATTTTTTGAATAAGACGAGTAGTCAAACAATACAAACAAAAACTCAAAATCCCTTATATTATGGGACGGAGAAAATAGCATCGTGAGGTAATCTTCTTGATTTTGGAAACATCTTAAATTTTTTAAGTAACCTCTGGGTTGTCGTTGTAATCGTGATACCACCATCGGATAACGGTAACCCCGTCAAAAATAGTAAGGAAAATCTTGCTTTCTACTAAGGTCCTGTTTAGATCCCACGCAAAAATTTTACACTCTGTCACATCGAACGTTTGAACACCTGCATGAAGTATTAAATATTGGCTAAAAAATAACTAATTATACAGATTGCGACTAATTTGCGAGACGAATCTTTTGAGCCTAATTGCTCCATGATTTAACAATGTGGTGCTACAGTCAACATTTGCTAATGACAAATTAATTAGGCTTAATAAATTTGTCTCGCGGTTTATTGACAAATTTTGTAATTAGTTTTTTTATTAGTGCCCGAACACCCCATGCAACACCCTATATAATATCCGATGTGACACGATAAAACTTTATACCCTTGGATCTAAACACACCCTAAGAATAATTAAGTACCGCCAATGTCAAATATAAAATGGTTAGAGGGAGTATTACAAAAACTTTAATGTTCATCTACAGGTGTAGTGCAACAAATGAAACTTAAATAGCAAAATTTACTACATGACACTTAAAGTTTGTAATTTTTAGTTTGGACACTGCAAAGATGTGACACACTCAAGGTCATATAAAATAGATGATAGTAATTTGCTAAAAGACAACGTGACCATTATTTTATCATTTTCAAGCCAAATGGAGGAAAAAAAAACACTTAGAAAAGACGATTTATCTCTCAGGCCAACAACATGTAACCCAGCTAGGTATGTTTCACAGCAGACTTCAATTTCTAGATTTTTGGAGATGGGGTCAGTGGAGGGAATGGGGCTTGGGTCTGGTTTGAACTAGACCCAACCAAGTTACATGCTGCTCTCCGGAGGGGCAAACTTGTCTTTTCTATGCATTTTCTGTCTTGATTTAACCCGAAAATGATAAAATAATAGATATGGTGTCCTTCCGTAAATTATCAGTTTTGGGTTGTACTCGAGCCATATCATGTTTCTGCGGAGTGCAGGAGCAAAGACCAGAAACTTTTGGTATTCTATAGAAAAATTTGTCAATTTATATTACATTATCTATAATGTAGTGTAGAAAAAAAATTGAGCCACCGAAACAATGATCAGGTCAAATCATGGAACATTTCAAACTTTTAACTGTCAAACTGTATTATTTTTCCCAGCAATACTCAGATTTTCTGTCGTTTTACCTAACAAAATGAATACGCAGACAGATATGAGCAGAAAAAAAAAAGAGAACAAAACCAAGGTAATATAAGTGTATTGCACATACACCTCCAACAAATTCTTTTTGGCTGGGCCGGCAAAAGATGCCGGCTTAGTTTATTCAGATCTTACATATGCCTTCCATGTAATAGCAGGGTTGTAATTACTTTTCTATTTAATATATTGGATACTGTTTTGGAAAGAAAATTAAAAAAAGAAAAACGCCAGTCCAGTATATTCAAAAAGGAGAGTACAACAACAACGTACTACCTCCGTTACAAAATATAAGACATTTTGGCTTTGCGATGGAAGTAGTATAGTTGTTCCCCACCAACAAATTCTCGCATATAGAATTTTGCTACAAACAGTTCATACTCTTTAAAATTGCTGATTAAACCTGCTTTGAGCTCACTTCCCCCTGCTCAGAGGTCACAACTTCACATTATTATGGCCTTTGAATGATCTAACAACCTGCAGTTGAAACCTTGGACATAGCTGTTTGATCTGTCTCTTTCATCGCCACAGTCAGGTACACACTGTGCAACTTGCTTCTGTGTTTTTTTTGGCTTGAAGCAGATTGCCATCATCACAAACAGACCTGCAAGCAGACCAAATGTTGATGCCCAAGCTGCCACCAGTGGGGTCATCTCACAATTGCATAAGCTGCCTGGGATTAGGCAGGTAGCACAGGCATTGTCACTGTCAATATATCATCACCAGATTATATTCCATCTGGAAATCAAACTGAGACAGAATGATCATGCCCCTTCAATTGCATCTCACATTCTGAACACACCATCAGCAAACAGTTCATCACATCTTGCCTTTTGTAGCATCAAGAGAGAAATTAAGAGGGACGTGATCAATTTGTTACAGAGGCACTGGTAGAAGAAAGGGGATGATGACTCACAATTTGGATTTAATGTCGCGCAAAATCAAGAACAGAAAAAAATTCCTTCCAATATGTCAAAGGTTTTCAGTACATGAAAGAATGATCTCCTCAGGCAAAGGAGCATTTACATTTTACAACCTCTGACTGGCTTGTGCACCCGTGGTTTACATGTTTCTATGTGTAATTTTGAATCTGTATGTTACATCTACTCTTGTAAATATTAGTGAACTCCGTGTATATGTACGTAGCTACTCATATTTACAGGAAAGTCAATCCCGATTCCTGGAAGGCGAGGAACCAGCAGCCTGAATGGTGCTCCAGCAACTACTGATACCTTCTACAAAAACAGCCGAATTCCAGATGACCAGTTTGGTGCAGGCAATCGAATATGCGAGCTTGTGTAGCGCCGTGCTGTCCTGCGCTGTGCTTGATCTTTGGCCTTTGCAAAGTCCTCACTTTGGAGCTACATTTTGTCAGATAAACTTTCAGCTCTCTGCTCGATCTTCTTGGAACGCGTTGTATATGAAATCTCTGAAGCGCCTGGAATACTGTCTTGGGTCTACTGCTGAGATGGATGTCGAGTCGTATTGAAAAGACTTGTAAGCATGCTCGATCTTTTTGCCGATATCATAGTCTTGAAGTATGTCTATTATCCCAAAATATAATATCACGTCGCAGTACTGCCCGGTTGGCTGTCCAACGACATCAGTGTCATTCTTTCTGATTGTCAGTTCAGCCCTTGACAGCATGTTTGCCCCAAGTTTAATCTTCGACCACCTGAAGTCAGATTTGTTGAATTACTTTATAATGTAGCATTTTCAAATATACATAGGGCATAAAAAATTCCATTTGGACAATTGCAATGAACAGTTGCACCATCTGTTTGATACTTGGAGGATTTACATTTCTTGGCATTTACATAACAAATACAATTTACCAAGAAATTACAGAAAGTGAGATAATATACCTAAAATACTTTCTACTCCGGAGAATGAATACCCCCAACAGAATACTACAGTGAACTTGTATATTTAAAATGGATAAGCAGAAGGTTACCTAAAGCCTTTTCATAACAAAATTACTGGTAAAAATCATTAGTTACCAAACTAAGACGGCTATAGCATGAATCAAACTATCAATGAGTAGGGTTCTCCACTACATACATACTAACTAAATGATTTTGAACGAGGAAAACTAACTAAAACTAGGATTGCAGTATAGCTGAGAGAGGAATAATTTAGTACTCCATATCTCGGTTACCTGTTTGGGTCAGAAAGAAAGTGATCCCTGTCCCATCTTGAAAGGCGTGGTGATGCAGGTATGTCACCATCAATATCAACGGCACCTTTTTAACCAAGGTAAATAAGTCAGCCTTAAGATTGTGCAAACTATTGTCAGAAGCACACTTTCTTACCTCTAAAATGTACACCCACTAAAAGACTGTAATCCATGATCTTCTCATGCTCAAGAAATTCACAGTCCTTGTCTACTTGCCTGCTTCAAAATATTTAAAAATTCATTAGCACAAGGGATAGATAGCATGGTTATACAGAAATTAGGCACTAAGGTGTATGGGTATCACTTAGCACCTTTGGAACTCTTGGAACCATTGTTTTTGCAACCGAAAGATGAAATTAAGATCAAGATCTTTCAGAGTTGTATACTCATCAATTTCTGCCAGTGGCTTGTTAGTTGTACGGCCAAGAGATGATCCTTTCAGATCAAATCGCCTATGAATAGTGTGATCAGAGCAGAAAAGATTTCCCATTATGACGAAACGAACCTAGGTAGTAGTACAGCAGCAAACAATCAGGCATATTATGCTTGAAAAATAGCATATTCATGAGGGCGGAGTGGATAATCATATATTGTTCTAACCTTCTTCTGATTTGCTCCAGCCAACTTTACACAATGTAGGCCAAAAAACTTTGTCACCAGGGTATCCTCGAATGCCCGAACATGATTGTAGTAAGCTGGAAGCATCTTCAGAAGCATCTGTGTGGCAAAGTTTGTCCATGTATTCAGAATAGAACTTCTAAATATAGAAGCTTAAATGGTGCTATTTGAACAAAGACAGCAAAGGACAACCTTTACTTCAGATTTCTTCATTGTCTTTATCATGTAGCGGTCGTCATTTGTCAAGTAAAAGAAGCTTCCACTTTTACCAGGGGACGAGAGTTCACGGAGAGCATCATCTCCACAAAGGGATAGCATATAGTCAGCTGGATCAACCTTAAACAGCTTGCGCAATGTCCTGTGATTTTGTAAAGAACAAATGTGCATGTTGACATGGATGAAGCCATAAAACAGTCACTAATCTATAATGTATCTATCATGGGAGTGATAACCAACCGGAACACCTTTGGGCAGTAATCCTTCCATCTGAAATCAGAAGAATTGTGTGGAGGGGTGTATTTTGAGCCTTCTGGAGGGAATTTAGTCCATACTTTTTCTTTTGCGTCAAATGCTGATGACTTCAGGTCTAATATAACCTGGCCTTGCCTTCCTACTGCATGCCTATGTACAATAAGCATACTCAGTGATAATAAGTTACTTTCTGAGCTTACAAAGAAATATGGCAATCTTACTGTCGAATAATTACATCTTCTCAAAAGATATGGAAGTGCTACAAGTTCTGAAAAAACAATAACAATCTTGGTTTCTAAAGTAAAATATGTTGTAAACACAAAGATTGGTAATGGAGAAAATTCAATGATAATCCTTACATGATTAATCGTTGATAATGAACTATAAGAATTTCATTTTATAACTTTGTAAGAGTACTGTCTATGGAGTCTATGATATATGATTTCATTTTCAGGATTTCAAACTACTGATAGAAGGACTAGTGAGGCAGTGTTAAGATGATAAGAATGCCATAAGAGTCCACAAAAATGCCTCAGCCAAGTCATCGAATTGTGCTCAAATCATTACTACTTTACATGCAAGGCCTCGGATTCTTTCTTGATGTCCACACTACCAACGCATATGAATTTTGTCGCTGAAAATGTTTGTCCATTCTAGATAAATGCTTCAATGCACACCCCTAATATTTCGCCCAAAATTCCCATTTCGTTGTTTACCGACGAGATGACAACATGATTGTTCATGCGAGATTTCCTAATTTCACATTTTTAAATTCCTCGCATGGAAACAAATTGAAGTATTGCGAGTGCAATCAAAGAGACAGAAAATCGCGGGAAAGAAACACACGCACCTGATCCCGAGCTGCAGGTTGAGCATGAGCTCGTAGTTCTTGTGGCCCTTGGCGATGGTCACCCCCTGCCGCTTCATCACCCGCGGCGGCGCCGCCCCCTTGTCGACGTGCGGCGGCGGCGGCGGCGCCGCCAGCGAAGGCGGCGGCGGTCCCCTCCCCTCCCTGACGCTGCTCCGGCGCCTCCAGTCGTCGGCAATGTCGGGCTTGACCTCGCCGTCGGAGCCCCAGAGGTGCGGCACGCCCACCACGGAGCCGATGCTCCGGCCCGACGACGAGCTCCCGCGGCCGCTGATCGACCGCGCCAGCCACCTCAGCGAACGCAGCGACGGCAGCGCCGACTGCCCTTCCGTGCTGGAGCGGACGCACTCGGGGAGCTCCCGCGCGAACACCTCCCTGGGGTCGCGGGACTCGCCCGCCGCCGCCGGGGACGGGTAGTAGACGCCCTTCTGGTGGACGGCGCCGCCGGGGGCCTCGCGGCCCCAGAAGCCGACGTAGAGGCTGCCGTCGGACCAGCGGAAGGTGCCCTGGCCGCGGGGGCGGCCGCCCTCCCACCCGCCGTCGTAGCGGTTGCCGTTGGCCCAGACGAGGGCGCCGCGGCCGTGGATGAGGCCCGCGCGCCAGCCGCCGGCGTACTCGGTGCCGTCGCGCCACGCGTAGCGGCCGCAGCCCTCCGGGAGGCCCGCGCGCCACTCGCCGTCGTAGCAGTCGCCGTTGGCGTAGCGCTTCTCGCCGGCGCCGTGCTCGAGGTTCTTGGCCCAGGCGCCGCGGTAGGTGTCCCCCGCGGCGCCCACGTAGGCGCCGGCGCCGTGCATGAAGCCGTCGAGGAACTCCCCCTCGTAGGTGGCGCCCGACGGCCACGAGAACCTCCCCCGCCCGGTCGCCTTCCCCCGCCGCCACTCCCCCTCGTACATGCACCCGTCCGCCCACAGGTACTTCCCGGCGCCGTGCGGCGAGCCGCCGCGCCACTGCCCCGTGTACAGGTCCCCATTGGGGAGCACCCGCTCCGCGCGCTGCTGCTCATTCCCCTGCGCCTGCGCCTGCGCCTCGCCTTCGTCGGCACCGCTGCAGGACGACGCCGTGTCGGCGTCCTCGCCGGGGGGCATCGGTGACACGCGTCCTCCTCCTCCTCCTCCTCTCCCTCGCCCACGCCGTTCGTGCTCGCGCATTGGTCGCGTCGCCTCGAGCCCCACGGCGAGGCCGCCCGCGCGCGCGCGCGGCGAACGTGGGATCTAGCAGCGGCGCCGGCTGCTGCTGCCGCCGCGCGCCCGCGCGCGCCGCGGCGGCATTGTCTCGGGAGTCGGTGGGTGGAGAGGAGGCGCCAGGGTGGGATGATAATTTTCTCTCCTTTTTTTTTTTCAGACCATTCCCAATTCCGAAGGCTTGGGGAGAGGGAGTGGACGAGGAGAGGAGGGCCACAACAACGTGCAAAGACGTGTGTTTTTTCTATTATTTTTTCTCATGTTCTATTTCTTCATTTTGAATAATATCAATATGGAGTACTTCTACTTGTTATATTTTCAGATCTACTTGGTTTGACTCAGACAAGTTTTGGGAGTACGCGTAGAACATTCGATAGTTTTGTAGAAGAAAAACTTACAAATGTAACTAGTATATAATCACAATGCAACTAGTATGTAACTAACACGTAACGTGATTTTTTTTTCCAAAAACACCCAGCATCATAAGTGGCTAGGGCAGTGGACTTGCAAAGCAGCAAGTCAAGGATTCGATTCTCTATTCGCGCATGCACAATTATTATATTTATCTCGGTAGCATGAATCTTAAAGAACATTTGACGGTGGAAAATAAATGTGTCGAAAGTTTTTAACAAAACCTAAGTCAGATATATTTTGGTATACTCGGGCCTTGTTTGGATCCAAAAATTTTTGCCTAAAAACGTGAAAAGAAACCAATTGCACAGTTTGCATGTAAATTGTGAGACGAATCTTTTGAGCCTAATTATGTTATGATTTGACAATGTGATGCTACAGTAAATAATTACTAATGATGGATTAATTAGGCTTAATAAATTCATCGAGCAGTTTACAGGCGAAATCTGTAATTTGTTTTGTTATTAATTTACGTTTAATACTTTAAATGTACGTCCATATACTTCAAAAATTTTACACCCAAAAAACTAAACACACCCTCGGATATTATTTCCAAGTTCATGCATAAATAATGACACCTGTAAAATTGATGCATGTGTCTGAAGAGGATGGCTAAATTAGTGCAATTTAGGTGAAATTGGAGTAAGCCACTTGGACAGGAAAATGAAAAATAGGGTAAGGAGTAATTAAGGTGGGGCAGAAAAGGAAATATCAAATATGGGGCATAAATAGATGTATCTAATTTTCTAAGAGAAAAATTAGCAAGAGAAATAGTTGAATTGTTGCGTTGACACGTTTATTAAGCCAACTCAATCAAATATTCCATCCAAGATCTTCTCTGTTTTTTTTTTATTTTTCGTTTGCTTCAATCAATTCTCACACAGCTATGTGTACAGTACATGTGTCTGTATACAAGGGACAGTGTGTATGATTATTTAATATGCATTATTGAGTTGCACATGACTCTTTTTGCATGTATGTTTAGACTTTTGATGAACGTAAAGTCATGGGATCTACACCAAAATCCAAATTAGTGGCGTGTATGAATAAGAACGGAATGTGTATCACCCACAATCTGGGGCAAAATTTTTCTGGTCTTCCTCTCCACCGGGGAAAGTGAATGATCGATTGATCGGGTACTGGATAATATCAGACTAATATACTTTTAATGTACAACCTTAGACTGTTTTTCTTTCGAAAAACAGATTATAAGTATTTAAAAGTATACTTACACTATCAAAGTTCTTTGCACGTTAAATATATATAACTACATATACTACTTGCGTTCATCAAAATGTACTAATTTAAAAGTTTTTTTTAAAGTGGACGAAGATGAGACTGATACCAGAATAGGTAGGAGCCCATGGCGATATGTTTTTTCTTCCTCTGTAAATCTTTCGGTTTCTTTATCTTAACTCGACAAAATCAACTTCTTTTGGGAGGCTGATACATATTTTTTTCACTAAACAATAATGTTTACTTCATCTATCTCAAAATATAACTATTTATAAGTGTTAAAATTATCTTAAAATAAAACTATTTCTCCATGTACCTCTCTTATTTAATTTCCTCATATACTTTCTCGTATCAATCGATCACAACCATCTCTAACGTCTAACATTAATCTCTTAAAAAGGCACACTTAGTTGTACTTTGAGACCAACTCTCCAAATGTCCAAATGCATTGCTTGTAATTAATGCCTGAATTCCATAGGACTCTATTATGCATGAAATCATATTTCTATATTTTTCATGTTCATGCGTTTTTAAAATCTTACTACGTTCTAAAAGAGCTAACACTAAAACGATGAGGGAGGGGGTGCTCTCTTCTCCGCTCCTAAAGAGGAGTCCCCGTATGGTTACCGTGTTACATGTCTAATTCACTTATCTATTTTTTCTTTGTCCTTAATTTGAAGTACAATAGTAGAAACCGTGGAAACAACTACAATAGTTTTCTTTTTTTTATTATTTTCTTACCTCGTAAGGAAAAACGATTTAGTTTTGAAATTTTATAGCGTCGTTTTATTACCCCTGCTGGTAGAGGATTATGGGTGCATATAACTTCTATTGAAATGTTCGTAACTTGTACACGCGTGCAAAAGAAATTTACTGAGATCAAGGAATCATCATTGGTTTCAGACTGAATCAAAGAATTTATTTAGGAATTTCATATGATTCAAGTCCTATAAAAAATTTTCCTATTTGACCTTTTAATTTAAAAGATTGAAGCTTTTCAAATCTTATGAAATTCCTATGGAATGGCACATTCCATGTGGATTTTGAAGGAAACTTAACAAGAGCTCCAACCTCTTGTTTTACATTTCAATTCCTATTAAAATTCTTTGTTTTTTCAACCCTGTGATTCAAAGGGGCCCAAGCATATGTTAATAAGTGTATCTGTTGATGTATACTGCGTTTGGCAGCTGGAGAAAGGGAGAGAGCTTGTTTCGTTTTCCGCGCGCACGCTTCCCAAACTACTAAACGTTGTGTTTTTTGCAAAAATTTTCTATAGGAAAGTTGCTTTAAGAAATTATATTAATCTATTTTTAAAATTTAAAATAATTAATACTCAATTAATCATACGCTAATAGCTCACCTCGTTTTACGTATCTTCCCAATCTTTTCAATCCCCTTCTCCTCGTTAAGTATGGTGTGACCTATGTTTCTTTGAGCATGTTTTGAAGTGGACGTATTTTCGAATATGTGAGAGTGGTGCATGTTCAACGCCTTCCGTGTAATTTCAACGGAACAATAGTACCATCCCATACTGCCATACATTCGACCGTGTAATTCCAACAAAAATAATAATATCACCCCATACATTAGAACTTTTTTTTTCAAACAAAAATTGAAAAGTGGCTTCTACTACGTACTGCGCGCCACTAGTGGTCAAGATTTCCGGTGGGAGCGCACCATCATCAATTCGACGGTTCGGGCGTCTCCTTCTCCTCTCCCCACCCCTCTCCTCCGTCTCCGTTACCCAACCCCAACTCTCCCCAAGCAAACGAAGACGACGACGACGACGACGACCGCGCCACCGTGGCCGCGCGCGATGGTGGATGGATAGGAATTGTTCAGGGAGATCGAGGAACAGCGCGCGCTGCCCCCGCGTCGGGCTACACGCGGCGGCGGACGGCGTGGGGCTCCTCTCTCGATCGCTTTCGCCGGCCGACCGGCCGGCTTGGCCCTTCTGCTCCTGCCCTGCCTCCCCACTAATTAATCCGCGTTCCCCCCTCCCTCTTAATTGATCCGTCGATTTCTCGGTACGTACTATAGCATGTATGAATTCTGATCGAGATCGGGATGACTGGGAGGATGCAGTGCATTAGTGCAACCAAACCTACTGGAATTAATTGATGGAAACGCTACTCACTCTACTCTCGATCTCTGTTTTTTTTTTAAACACTGTTACAGTTCTGCTATCCCTTTGTTTTCTTTTGGTACAAGCTTTTCTAGATCACTAATTTTGGCTAATTGGCATAACTAAGGGCGTGTTTGGTTATTTGTATCACTCTAGCCGGACTCATCTCCCTCATATAGGTTAACTGGCTAAGTTTGCCCAGGCTGAGGATATACATATGCACTTGTTTGGCTGCTAGCATAAGATGAGTCAGACTACGGTTAGATGTTTTGGTTGGTTGTATTGAATATACTGGACGTGTAAGATTTTGTTTGGTTGATTGCGTGGACTTTGAGTGTGGTTACCTCTTTATTTAGTGGTAGAGTGAAGTTACCACTGCAATATCGTATATAAAATAAAATCATATTAATTAGTATCTGATTTGACAAGTTGTATTAATTTGTATAACATGCGGAGAAGCATATTTAACATTTGTGCAAAATCACTGTAGAAACTGCGATTATCTCTATATTAATAAGCTCAACTTTGTTTGACAGTATATTGGTGTAAAAAAAGAGAAAAAGTAAAACAAGATGGAGGAGAACGGTGTCCTCGTCGTAGTCAACGACGGGCGTCCGCCGCTCACCAGCCATTGGAAACGCCACATCCGGTGGCCACGAGTTCGCCACCGCCGGATCTAGTGGCGGCGAGCTCGTGGCCGCCGAATCCGGTGGTCCTGTGGCAGAAGATGGTTGCTGACGACGGCGAGAAAGAAGTGGAGGCAGCAGCAGCGGCAAGGAAGGAGCGGAGGTAGCGGCGGTGGCAATGGAGAGGTGAGAAGCGTTGGCAGTAGCGGAGCGGTGGCGCTCTTCTCGCCGGATTTGGCGGCGGGCTTCGAGTGGCCATATCCGGCATCGGGGAGCTTGTGGCTGACGGAGCTGGCGAGGCGAGTGGCGATGTCGATGACGACAGCCGTGCGCGGGGTGGAGGCGAATGACGGTGGCCGTGCGCGGCGTGGAGGCGACGACGGCGGCCTTGCGCCGTGCAGAGGCGATGACGACTCGGAAGGTACTGAGCGGGTAAATGGTGGAAAAGAGGTGATGAGATGCGCGATTCCCTCTCGCCTCCTGCACGCACGTGACCCCGTTCTACACGCGCTCGTCCCCGTGCCTGCACGCGCTCCACTCCGACGAGGAGGGAAGCTCGATTCGGGCGTTTCCCTTTGGCCTGGTTGGGAAGGTGATTTTGTATGCGATGAGCCAAGCCCTGGAGGCTATGGCAGGTATCCAAACATCCCTCCACTGCACGCGCGGATGCGAGCCATGCAACATGCAGGTAACCAAACGAGCCCCAAATGAATCCATACTTGCTGAAATGAGAAGGCCTGAAACTTCTTAAGTTAGTCCCTGATATTTATTGGGACATTTTATATAACATTCGATAGAAACCCGCTTAAAACTCTGTTAAATGTAACTATAATACGACTGCAATGTAATTACAACGTATAATTAACTTGTAATTATAATGTAAATAGAATATATATAAGTGACTTACATTATGAAACGGAGGAAGTAACTATTAAGGACATGTTTGGTAGTACTCTAACTTCTAAATTTAACTTTAAAAATTAGGTCTAGAGTAAAGTTGTGAAACTATATAAATTTAGCTATATATCTAGTTTACTTTAGGAGAACACTCTAATCAAATTCACTTTTTCTGGTTGAGCGAAAAGATGGAGCTAAAGGTGAAGCCATGCCAGACGGGCTCCACGCTAGCTCAGCTGCTCAGTCAGCATAGATGGAAAATGTCTAATGCAGTAGAACCGAACCAACTAAATACAAAGATATGATAATTAACAGCACTTAAGAGTTACTCCATCCGCTCCATAATGTAAGACTTTCTAACATTATCCATATTTATATAAATGTTAATGAATCTAAACATACATATATGTCTAAATTCATTAATATTTATATGAATGTGGGTAATACTAGAAAGTCTTACATTATGAAATGGAGGAAGTATTATACTAAGATCATACAAGATCACAGTAGACAGTAGCTTATTGAGACCCTGTTTAGATGAGATAACTTTTTAAGTCCCTATCACATCGGATGTTTGGACACTAATTATAAATATTAAACGTAGACTATTAATAAAACCCTTCTATAATCTTGGACTAATTCGCGAGACGAATTTATTAAGCCTAATTAATCTATGATTAGTCTATGTGATACTGCAATAAACATTATCTAATTATGAATTAATTAGGCTTAAAAAATTTACCTCGCGAATTAGCTTTCATTTATGTAATTAGTTTTATAAATAGTCTATATTTAATACTCTAAATTAGTGTCAGAGAATAAATTAAGTTACTGAATCCAAGTACCACCTGACTTAACTACGGTCTACGGCTAATTGCATGCAGTCTATAATCGAGCCCCGTTGTGGCTGTCCATTTCCAAGATCCATCCACTGTCTCCGTGTTGTCCCCGTTATAGTGTCGGCCTGTCAGACAAGGACACCGGCTAGTTAGTAGTACAATTAAGCTGACACTGCGCTGCCGTGTCACCATTACTTGGCTGGTCGTATGGGCCCCACCTTATTCCTAGGTGATCCTGATGGGCCCTGATATTCTGCATGGCCTGCATCTTCCCGGCCCACCTCTATAGCTGATTTCGTATTTGCTTTACTCCCTCCATCCTAAAAAATAATCAATCTTGAAGGGAGTACTATACGCATGTGTATTAGCGTATGCATTGTCTCTCCTTCCTCTCAGTGTCCTGCGGCAAAGTGTCACCAATTAAGTGATTAATTAAATCACCCTGTTGCCATAAATCGTGCTGGCAACTTTTTGATCTGAGGATCAATGTAGCGCGTAAGCATGTAAACATGCCCTTACTAGTAGTACAAGCCTGAAGTGCCTCAATGGATAAGTAAATATGGCCCCTTACAAGTACAGACAACGAAAATAACGGAATTATTCTTTTATTATATTATCGTGGTAGAATTAATTTAGTACTATCTCCCTCCGAGAAGGAGTTAATTTATACTAGCAATTTCAAAACAAACTAAGTATAGAGGAAAAAACTAAAGTATCATCATTAATACGAGCATTGTTAGATGGGTAGGTAAGTAGAATTGAAGGGATAAAACTAAATAAGTACTTTTCGATTTGTGAACTAGGATATATGTAAGGGGCTAGAGATCAAGTGTTTTTGGGACAAAGGGTGTGCTTGTTGACGGGGTATGCCCGATAATGGTATTTTATGGTACGGCTGATACGAATGTATGCACGAGTTTGGAATAAAGAGATAAGGACAATGGTTTTTATATTGGTTTAGACTCCTGAGAAGGTGAATATATATACATTTGAGATGTATCACACCGAGTACAAAGGTGGAGCAAGCTAGCTATTCTAACATATCAAACTAATCTCGATGAGCAAGGTGCCCGGTTGTAGTCCACGGTTAGCAGAAAAGCGGTGGGCTACACATGCTGGTCGGAATCACTGTGAGGGATGTCGGTCTTGGGCAACAATGGTTATCGGGGAAGCGGCGTCCAAAGGAGTCCCATTAGGCAATTGGTGCGGGGCAGGCCAGTCCAACGACCATGGCAAGGAGTGCCATGGCTGAGATGGTTATTGCATGACTGCATGCTATCCATCGTGTCCAGCGGGACGACTTCGGTCCTGATGATGATGAAGACAATGGTACTGAATCCCACCATACAGCATTGGTTCGAAGACCTCATGCATTACTTTGGCCATTGTCTTAATAGTGCTAAGGGTCCACCAAAGGGCAAATCAGTGGCGACGACTAATGAGGGAGGGAGATCGGTAGATCGAGGCGGCGGCGTTGTAGGGAGAATCGGAGTACCAATTGGCTCGGCTTTTCTGCTTGTGGTTCTGGTTCTGGGAGCCACGCCCACAAGTGAAGCACGAGTTGAGCCAAGCGAGGCACAGTTGTGGATACCGGCCAGCGTGAGGTACGCTTGGAGTCACGACCATCGTATGGGCAAAATTGCTATTTAGTGATCAGCCACGCGCGTCCCAATCACGTTTTAGGCCTGCTTTTTTTCTGGGTTGTTGAGCCCCCTGACATTCCAATTTAAGATTTTTAAGCCATCCATCATTTCTGAAACAACATGTATCTCCTATGCATGATCACAAGAACATCGAACATTCTCCAATGGCAATTCATTAAAACAAGAGATACCACCTTACACAATACATATGGGGTGGTGTAGTTCCTTACAATTTTCCCAAAATAACTACTCCTGTCGTGCACGAACCATCATGAACTACTAAAGCCTAGCTGAAGACTAGGCATCATTGGACATGCTAAGCATCCAAACATCAACACCGACAGCACTAATATCTGGTAGGGGGTATGTAGGACCATAAACGATACAGAGAGTCAAGGGTACATTAGCACTAAGCAGGGAGCCGCCACATTCGAATGCAAGCAAGAAAATCAGACCACTCTGGCTGCGTGCCATCGGTCTCCCCTGCCACATCAGGTGGCAGAGGCGTGCCTCCATCCATCCTGGCGAGTGCCCGATTCCCTTCACCACAACCATCGGCAGAGGAGCCTCAAAGTGCTTGATGTACTGATCAGCAACCACATCATTGCCCACCAGCTCTCCTTGTTGCAAAATCCCCATATCCTTGATGATACGGACTTGAGCTCGCAGTGAAACCGGGACCGAAGATACCCCCCTTCGAGACTCTTGGTCTAGCAGCTTGCTACCAGAACCTTCTTGCACTCTCTTTAGCACCGAAGCGACGACGTCGCTACCACGAGCAATGACTGCAGTGTAGCGAACAACACTAGGTCCTCTTGGGCCGTACCTATGCCTCCACGGGAACCCCGACTTGCCCAAGCATGATAAGCCCAAGCGGCCCATCAGGCGACAAGAATGGCCCATCAAACGACCCATCCAAGAAGGTGAGACCTAGGGCATACGCAGGCATCTCCCTCATTGATAGCACAACAGTAGCCGTTGCCAGCTCCAGAAGCATCGGGTCGTCGTCTCGTGCCGGCCTCCTCGTCGTGTCCACGTCAGAGCAGCACAGGGCTGGGTCAACCCTGACTGGCGTTGGCGCGATGCAGCTGATCGGCGTTGGCATGATCTGGGGAAGGATGCCCGAGGCTAGGGAGGCATGCTTATGGAGCAGGCCTTTGTCGTTTTCCCCTCCACAATTACAATTGGATTTGGGCGAAACAGACAATTTGGGCCTAATTTTTGGGGGATTGGGGGAGGGGGGGTGGGTCTCCGAGCCAAATTCTGGGGTAGTCTCGAGCCCACCGAGACTACCCCTTGGCTACGCCCCTGTATTATTGCGCAGCGTCATTCATGCCATTGCAATTGAACATGGCATGCTACTACATACTACTCCCTCCGTCCCAAAAAAATATAAAAACTTAGGATCAAATGGAACATTTTCTAATACTACGAACTACGAATCTGTACATAATGTTCTATATGGTTTTAGATTTTTATATTAATTATATTCTGAGATGATGGGAGTAGCTAGGTGCGGCCTGTTAGGTTGCACCATTGCTAGCTACCCACCTCCCACCCACTAAGTCCTCCCCCTCCACCCACCTCTCCCTTCACTCCCTCACCTCACTACCTCTCCTCACCTCCTCCATCCAGTCGGGCATCAATAGTAGGCGGAGGCGGCGCCCCTCTCCTCTCCTCCCCTCCCTCCTAGATCCGACTGGAGGAGGAGAGGGCGGCGGCCACAGCAACCGGCGGCGCATAGGCAGCGCTCCCCTCCTCCCTCTCTCCCCGCTCCTAGAACCGGCCGGAGGAGGAAAGCGGTGGCGGTGCCCCTCTCCTCTCCTCCCCTCCCTCCTAGATCCGACTGGAGGAGGAGAGGGCCGCAGCCACAGCAACCGGCGGCACGTAGGCAGCGCTCCCCTCCTCCCTCTCTCCCCGCTCCTAGAACCGGCCGGAGGAGGAAAGCGGTGCCGGTGGCAGTGGCGGTGGAGATGGAGGCTAGCTGCACTCCCCTCCCTCTCTCCTAGATTTGGCCGGAGGAGCAACGACGCAGGCCCCTCCCCTCCCTCCCAGATCCGACCGGAAGAGGGGAGCCGTCAGCGACGGTGGAGGCGATGCTCCCCCTCCCCTCCCCCCTCCCTCCCTCCCGCACAGATTTGGCTGAAAGAGGGAAGCCGACGGTGGCGGCGGAGTCGGCTCTCCCCTCCTTCCCAGATCCAACCGGAGGAGGGGAGCCAGGGAGCCGGCCGGCGGTAGCGGCAGAGGCAACGCTCCCATCGGGTGGTGGCGGCGGATGGAGGAAAAGAGCCGGAGGTCAGAGGGGGAGGGCAGCAGCGGGGGACGGAGAAGGAGAACCGGTGGCTGGAGGGGGGAAGGGTGGCAGCGGGGGATTCTTTTTGTTCCGTGAGATTGTTTTTTGCAGGCGAGTGGATGTAGCAGCCTACGAAAGTGACTTTTTGCAGGCGGGGATAACGATCGGATGCAAAAATCGTCTATTTTTGCAGGTTTTGAAGTGCAAGCGGGGCTAATGGCCGCCTATAAAAATCTTTTTTTCCCGTCTGAAAGAAATCAGTCTTCTAGTAGGGAAATATGGGTTGATTTTTTTTAAGACAAATGGCCTATGGTCAGGCCGGTCATAAAATATCGGATCGATGTCCGGTACTCGATCAGGTTAATGCACGCACGTACTACCTCCGTCTCAAAATGTAGCTATTTCTAGCACAGTACTTTATCCTAAAATGAAGCTATTTTTCTACCTACCTTCTCCTCTCAACCAATCACATCCATTCTTTTTCACCTACTTTCTCTTTTCAACCAATCACACACCTTCTTCAATTATTCTCACCTACTTTCTTAATACCTATGCCAATCTCAAAAATCCTTACATTTTGGGACGGAGGAACGGAGGAAGTAAGCCGTAAGGTACGGGTTCGGCTGATACACTAGTAGCGCCGCCCATCGTCGTCGTTGCTGTACCATGTCAACACGCGCATGCAGTGAAGTCGTACTGAAGTACGTGGATCGGCGTGACGGCCGGGCGGCTTTCATGCGTGCCGTTGCCTCATGGGCTATACATTACCCGGACCAAAACGTCTCTTTCCTTGTGGGCTAGCTAAGCTCCTCCCGGCCCATCGGTCGGACGTCGCAGCCCATCGAATCGAGGCTCAATTTCATCGTCTCGTGCACTGCACACCCGTGATGGCAATTGGCAGCAGAAACCACCATGCATGCATGACCCAACCACCGTGCACCAACGCCTCCCCGCCCACCCGCCCGCCCACGCACAAAACACCCGAGAGAGTCCACGCGCGCTCGTACAAATCCCCCATCCCCTCCTCGCCGCTCGCGCCACGCCGCGGCCTGTACAAAAGGCGCCGCCAGTATCGTCTCGTCCCCCCACGCGCGCGCGCGCGCGTGCACAACGATCGACTTCGAACGCCGCGCCGCGGCCGCACCGATCGATCGATGGCGCCGGCATCGACGACGGCGACGGCGACGTCTGCCGCGGCGGCCGCCAGAGCCATCTGCGTGCTGCTGCTGCTGCTGGTAGCGGTCGTCGTGGTGGCGGGGCAGGCGCCAGAGCCGGAGGGCGACGATCAGGCCGCGGCGATCGACCAGGCGGGTGGCGGCGGCGGCGGCGGCGGCAACAACAACGGCACGGCCGGCCGCGCGAGAGGCGGCGGCGGCAACAACAACGGCACCGGGCGCGCGAGGGACGGCGGCGGCGACCGCGACCGTGGCGCAGACGGAGGCGGAGGCGGGCGGAGCAAGCTGGCGAGCAGCATCGACTGCCAGATCTGCGAGGCGACGTGCCGGGTGAAGTGCCTCGTCAACAGCCTCTTCCAGTGGGGCGGATGCTACCAGCGCTGCAGGTCCGACAACTGCAACGACTGGTGCACCAGAGGCTAACGTAACCTAGCTGATGAACGGATCCATCCTTCGGATCGGACGGCTTGCGATCGTTTAGCCCTCGATCTGACGGTTACAGCTGCAGTACTAATTTTTTTGGACAAAGATGATGGTATATACCAGCTTGTTTTTTTTTTCAAAAGATAGAAAATGGTATTACTTATGTGCTCAGGATAGATCCAGCATGGGTGTGCCAGAGGGACTTGAGTCCTCCGTGCCCACTAGATCATCATTGATAAAAGGAGAGAGAGTCGAAAGAAAAAGAGAGATAGGAGGAAGAGTAGGGGTTGAAGGAGGAGATGAATTTCCTCTCTAGTTTTATTCTAGATTCGCCCCTGATACTCATAATGTTGGAATTAATGAATGGGCCTTAGCCCACTAGAAGATTAATTCTTTGGAAATCACAAAAGCCCACCTCATGGAATGGCATGCATGTGGAGTTTAGTACCACCCTGCTTATTCTAGGAGAGGGGGACCTCCTTAAAAGGGATGATGCCCTTCTAGCCACTTGAAGCATGTGTGGTGGAGAGAAGAGGGGGAACACACGCGCGCGCTCGCTCGCCTGGCCTGGTAGGCGCGCGTGCACGACGTACGCGTCGAATGGTCCGCCAAAATTGGTTCCTCGCCTTGCGCAGATGCAGCCTCCTTTTGCAGTTTTATTTTGCTGCAAATTCGGATTCGTTTTTGTTTTGGAAACGTTCCGAAAAATCCGGTGCGTGCAAACGGCGTGGAGTCCGGATAAGTTACGCGCGACTTATCCGGTTCGGTTACGCGCAGTGGAGATCATGCGGGCGCCCTGATCAAGCGACCCTTCTCTATATAAACCGACCCGCCGTCTTCACGCAACACACGCGAAATCAATCTAGGGTTTGCCTCCTACTCTGTGCTGCGCCGTCGCTCGTAGATTACTCCATCCCGCTCGCCGACGTGCACCTACGATCGGGAGAGTAGATCTCCGGAACCTCTGCCTTCGACGTCCTGCACCGGGAGAAGGCGGCAATAAAGTTTTTTGGGAAGCGCTTTGCGCGACTGCTCCCTGTTCGTCCGCGACGGCTTGTCTTCCTCTTCGCTCGCGTGCTGCGTGCCTTCATAGATGCCTGCGAAAAGTTTCGACCGAGCAGCCGGTCTTTCCGCCACCTCGATACGTGTTCAATATGTTGCGCATATTTGATCTGTTCATGTTATACTGTGTAGTTTACATGTGTAGATCTAATGATGCGTTCATGCTAGTTTTCATCTGTAATATCATGATTTATTTATGGAATAGATTAAATCATTATATGCCTATAATCTCAACACATAACGTACGTAAACTCACCCCTATAAATATATACACATACTTCTATCCTTATCCAATATATGGTAATCTCGTTAAATGAAAATTAAACGGTGTGTTAATTAGTTGTCCGACCCAGTACTAGACGAGTAAATAACTGCGTAATTTGCATGGCAGAACCGTGCTTAGACCAACTACTCAAATTAATTAACAAGCTCAGGTTGTGCATAAATACAGACGGTGGCCGTTGAACAAGGTACAGAGGTAGATGTGGTTACCGGTGTCGCAAGGACTAAATGCTTCATGTTTGTCTATTTAATTATTGGTTCCTGTACCTATCTCGTCAGACTTTTCAAAGACTATACGAATAAAACCACCAGCATGATCTAAATTATGAATTCATATACATATCCGGATTGAATTTAACAGGCACTCCAAAGTCTAAAGATGACGACTCACTGTTTGAATCTAACATCTTAATTTAGATCATGCCAAAACAAAGATCTTAAGTTAGCTATTTAAATATACTCTTTAATTAGTTAGTCTATAGGGATGGATGGATATGATCATAGATGCTGCGATATAGAGTAGTTGTCACTGTACTTTAAGTAATTGACTTGACCTATGTAGCTAGCTCATCCGGATGGATTATTATTTGTTTATATATGTAAATCATACTAGTATTTGCCACGAGATTTTCTACTCTCGGACTAGTCCATATATATATATATATATATATATATATATATATATATATATATTTGCACGTTTTTTCTCGGCGTCATGCATGCATGAAACGGAGTTTGGCGTTTTTCTTCGCCTTTTCCGAGGGCCGACTTGGTGTCCACATCAGCAATCACATGTCCTGAAAAGAAAAACAAATAGAGTACTCAGTCGTCACTGCAGTCTCTGTAGTATGGACATGATATTGAAGCGTGGGTACACAGAATTTTTTTAAAAAGCAATATGATTTTAATGGAAAATCGCAAAACTATAGGTCAGTTAGGCAAAATCGCAAGTTTAGCACCCTATCGAACAACCGCGGTTCGACAGGGATACCTATCGAACAACCACAGTTCGACAGGTACATGTCGAACTACGTGAGTTCGACAGGGTAGGTGGTCCAAAAACAAATAAAAAATTACATGAACAGTATCACTACAATACTAGGCAGGGACATATCGAACAGCCAAAGTTCGATAGGGTTGCGTGAACAGCGCGCTACAGTGATGCTACAGTGCTCGCAGGCACATATCGAACTGCCATAGTTCGATAGGGTATTGTGAACAGTGTGCAACAGTGATTTTTCTCTTTTTTTAATTATTTTAATCACCTGTCGAACTACCGTAGTTCGACAGGTACCCTATCGAACTGTGGTTGTTCGATAGGTACCTTGTCGAACCACGGTTGTTCGATAGGGTGCTAAACTTGCGATTTCGCCTAACTGACCTATAGTTTTGCGATTTTCCATTAAAATCATATTACTTTTAAAAAAAATTCTGGGTACACACATCTAGTCTGAGCTCCACCTCTCCACACAAAAAAGTATTATCTATTAACACATGATTAATTAAATATTAATTAAAAATTAAAAATAAATTAATATGCTTATTAAAACAAATATTTTTTAGAAAACTTAAAAAAGATCATTTAGCAGGTTAAAAGTGTGCAAGAAAAAAAAAAGAGAGATGTGAGCTAGAAATGAAGGGGAAGAACATAGCCGTAGACACTCCTTAACTTCAAGCTGGCTGCTTAGAGAAAGGATACGATGACAATGTCCAAAATATGTTTCAGTAAACTACATCAGCATGATATATTTATTTATATACATCGAAAATAACTACTGTACTAATTACCTCGTGAGCGTATATGACATTGTTGATTATTATTTTACTTCCTCCGTTTCAGGTTATAAGACGTTTTAACTTTGGTTAAAGTTAAACTGTTTTTAAGTTTGACTAAGTTTATAGACAAATATAGTAATATTTATAATACTAAATTCAGTGACGGACGTAGCTTTAAAATATAGATGGGGCGGAGAACGGAGATGTTCACTCGATAAGAGCATTCGAACACAACAGATATCATATTAATAGTTCATTCGCATAACTCCCTCAATTTGTTGGGTGTTCACACCTTGTTATATCTAAATTTGATGGCCCATAACTACTATAAGGGGGTAAGGGGGGTCTTGAGGGTTGACCCACCCCACCTAATGAGTAGATCCGCCTGACGGAGCGTGGGGCTCCTCACCGGGAGACCGCGCAGGCCCCCCTTTGCCGATTCGGCCGGGGGCCCTGGGTGAGATTCTAAGCTCCTAGTCTGTGGAAAGTTCGCGAGAATGGAAAAAGCACAAGACACGGGCGATGTATACAGGTTCGGGCCGCTGAGAAGCGTAATACCCTACTCCTGTGTTCTGGTGGATCTGTGTATGAAGAAGCTACAAAGAGCTGGAGAGCCAGAGAGCTCTTATTCTAAAAACCCTCTTCTCCTTTTTTTTTCTCTCGTGGGATCTCCTCTCTAGATCCTCCCCCCTTCCAACCCCCCTCTTAAGTGGGCAAGGTCCTCCTTTTATATCTCAAGGGGATACCACATGCACCACTTCTCCCTCTCTCTCTTTTTGGGTGGGGGCCCATCCTATCTATAGTAAAACTTGGCTTGCCTTCTCTTGGAAGCTGAAACACTGCCTGTTTTTGAGTGTGGCCACGCGTCCTCGTTCGTCTGACCTCGGGGATCACCCTGTCATCTCTTCATAAATGGGCGGAGATTTGCAACGGCTGCTGCCCGAGTGACCCTTCTGATGGGACGGCCCATACCTACCTCCACTCCGCCGGAAGCAGGTGCAACGTGGGAACACGGTTGTCTTCCGGCAACATAACCAGTGTCAGACCAGTCACAGACCGGTCACCTTTGTCCACCACGTGTCAGTTTAGCAATCTGCATGTTCGCCCTTCTTCATACAACGTCTTGCTTATAATGGTTGGGATAAAGCCTGGCATATATCTGACCAGGACCAACGTGCCATCTCCAGGAGCTAGCACGCTGGCTCCGGCTAGGGACGAGTGCCTAGAGACTCTCATCCTGACGGGACGGGGCGAGGCGTGTGTCAGATCGCCTGTTGCCTCCTAACCCGCAATCTGACCGATCTGTGACCGGTCACAGACCGGATAAACGAGCGTGCCATACTGCGCTACATGTGGCGTGACGCGCTCGTCCAAACCGCAATAAATGCGGTTAGGTGAGCCCCGCTATGCTCACCTACCCCATATACGCGGCGCAAAACCCACAAGGGGTCGGGGCGCCTCGGCCCTCGGGGCCGAGACGGGAGCGGTCCGACCCCTCGGGGAGACAAAGAGAAGGGCGGCCGTATCACCCTCGGGCCCGACCCCCCCGAGGGGGTTAGGCCACGTGGGTGATCGTGTCTGCCTCAAGTCTCTAAGTCATGATACTCCCGGTCCCATGTCACCGACAGTAGCCCCCGGCGTTATGCCAGGGCGATTGCCCTCCTCGAGGGAAGCGGTCGGGCGTGACGCCACTTCCTAAGGCCTGGTGACAGGTGGGGCCGGTCTAAAAATCGGGACAAGCCGGTTCGTTTTTCCTGGAGATATGGTGATGGCGCTTTGGTCGGCGAGCGTAATTAACGCGCGCACGATATGTTCCATCTCGACTGCCACAGCCGCATATCCACCTCATGCACCGCAAACGGGCGAATGGGATTAGTGGAAGCGTGGGCGCGAGAAACGAGGGGGCAAGATAGTGGGCGCGAGAAACGAGGAGCCGGGCACAGCGTTGGCAAGGGTATAAAGTCGCCGAGGAAGAGATTTGCTTCCTTCCTCTCGCCATTATTCCCCTTGTCTTCGCCGCTTGCGCCCTAACTCCTTGTTTCCTGTGTCCTACCTTCGCCACACGCGCTCGCTCTCAAACATCTCTTCTTCCGGCGTCATGGCACGGGGCTCCGCTCCGCTTGACGGTAGCGTGCTGCCGCCTTCCCGCATCGTGAGCGAGAGACAGGCCGGGCTGCCGCGCCGCTTCATGCCAGAATCTGCCACCGGCCGGGAGATAGTCTCACTGGGCGAGGGATGCCCTGCGCCACGCTACCCGGGGCGGTCCGTCTTCTTCCTCCCTTTTGCTAT